CTGAGCCAGGTGGAGTTTGGATAGGGATGAGTGACTGAGGTGAGATAGGACGATGAGGATGGATGGTTCTTATTGTAGTGGGCTTTCTGTCACTTGGACGCCTTGATCTCGCGCTTGAAGCAGATCGACAGAGTGTGGTTCTATCGGCAGCCCCCGTTCACTATTAGTCAAGGCTAAATCGTCAACTAATGATGAACATAGTTGGCGCAACCTTGTATCCAAGATCCTGGGTCTGTGTTCTGGAGTTTGGAGAGGCTGCATAGATGGACCTGAGGCGCGAAACCGATTAGGTTGTACCTGACAAGGTAGAAGCTCAAGTTCATAAAATTGACTTACCTTCTCTTTTAAGGATTGGTTCTCGGCCTTGATGGAGGCGTTTTCAGTCCGGATGGCGGTGTTCTCAGCTTCCAGTGCGGCCACCTTGTCTGAGTGTTGTTGCATAAGGGCGGTTGGAGCCTCCAATTCGACCTCGAGGCCAGGATTAGTTTTATCAGAATTGTCAGCCATAGAGAGTTTCTTTACGTAGTAGGGTTTGTGAGATGAATGATTTCTAGAGGCCCCACGGTGGGCGCCAAACTGTAGATGCAAAAATCTACCGTTACGGAAAGAGGGATTGATCCCGTGAGGTTGAGGCCACTAGCGATCTGCTACACCTGTACACATAAGAAAACAAGTGTGAAGCAGATGGAAAACACTAGGGTGGTGTTTGCCTTAGGCACTCCGACGCTCAAATCAGCAAGGCTGAGTGAGGCTAGTTTAGTGAGGGTTAGGGAGAGGAAAGATTACCGGAAGTCTAGTCGGGGACTGTGACTACGGCTGTAATGCAAAGTTCTCAAGTGAGAACTCTAGGGTCTGAAGGTGTAATGTATGTGTCCTTTGTGAGAGGGCTGGCCTCTATTTAAATAGTAACTGTATGGTATTCGAATCCGAACGGGACTGGGAGTCCTTGTAGCGGTGGTCCTCTTAAAGGGTAGAGTCTATGGCTCCCTTATCTCAGTAAGAAAAGGAGTTCGAGCGTGCCTAGGATACAGACCTTGGAGGAATTGGGATAGTAATTGACTTCCTTAGTAGAGTTCAAGTAATACTGTAGTTCGTAGGCGACCGTGGGCTCCGAGTTGATCGTAAGCCTAGAGGGTGTTCCAAGATCAGGAGGCCTAGGTCCAGATGGTGAGGAACAAGGAAGGCATACCAAATGAGCCTCATCTACAGAACTTTGATTTGGGCCCCATTGGAATTGAGCCTGAGCTTTCATCTTTGTTAGAGGTATCTCCGTTTTTAGGCCTATTTGGGCCGAGGACAATTTTTGACCCTAACAATTCCCCAGTCTCACCAATTCTTCCTTGAATTTTTCTGTCACTTCAAGATTTATTTTGATTGATTTTGCCCTTTGATAAACTCCTTTCAGCATTATATCAACAATTGATTTTAGCTCACAGCAAGTCAATTGCCTAAAAACAATCAGTTCATCATACCTATTCAACAACTCAGGCTTGAAATTCTTTTTCAACTCTCCTTGAACTTTCATCTTCACCTCATCATACCCCAAATGGCTTCCCTCAGCAATTATATCAGCACCAACATTTGAAGTCATTATTATGAAAGTTCTATTGAAGTTCACAGTCTTCCCTTTGCTATCCGTTAAACGACCATCATCCAGAACCTGAAGCATAATATTCAACACATCACGATCAGCCTTCTCCGCCTCATCAAAGAGAACCACACTGTGAGGCTGCTTCCGTACAGCTTCAGTCAGTTGACCACCGTCTTGACAGCCATAGTAACCGGAGGCGACCCAAGAAACTTTGAAATAGTATGTTTCTCCATATATTCACTCATGTCTATCCTGATTAGGGATTTTTTCTGACCCAAAATATTCAGTTGCTAAAGCGTGCGCAAGCTTAGTTTTTCCCACGCCTGTAGAACCCGCAAATAGAAAGCTTGCTAAAGGGCGGCTCAGGTCTCTAATTCCCATTTTAGCTCTACGCGCAGCGCGGCTGACGGCCTCAACAGCTTCTGGCTGCCCAATTATACGCCTCTCCAGAGCCTTTTCCATTTGCAAAAGTCGCTGGGATTCTTCAACCAAAAGTTTCTCCATGTTAATTCCGAATAAAGATTTGTGGTGGGTGAATTTGGCCTTATTTACGGTAGTTACGTTGTTTTCGATTGATCTAATCCACAATACATACTAAATAAAGATCTTTTTTCAATTGATTATGGAACTGAATTAAATTAGTACACCAATATTTTGCCATTTGAATCAACATTTGTTGTCACTAAATCTCCCTGTTTAACGCTTCCATTCAGTATCCTCTCTACCAAATTGTCCTCCAGGAGCCTCCCAATAGCCCTTCTCAAAGGCCTCGCTCCATAGCTGGGAAGATCTAACAACGGATAAGGAAAAAATTCAAGTGCTCCATGAAGTTTATGGTGACGATGTTGAAGAGCTTGATCTGCTAGTTGGTCTCATGGCTGAGAAAAGGATCAATGGTTTCAGCATTAGTGAGACTGCTTTTGTAATTTTCCTTCTGATGGCTTCCAGGTAAATGAAACAAAAACTAAATCTCCTTCTGTAATATGAATTATTCCTTGCGAGATTAAATTTGGAACGTATGATTTGACAAAAACCGTGAAATTTCTAGAAAGAATTTAGTGTTTGTGTATTTCTTTACTTGATTGAATGAATTACAAGTCGACACTGCACTCTTTTATACAAACAGTACATTTACAGTTGAGAGTGAGTGAAGAGAGTAAGTGGAGAGTGACGAAGTTGTATTGTTTACAAGAAGATGTGAAACGACACCGTTTCCTATAAATTACAAACTAGTCCTTAAGTTTTACAGATTTGACACTTGAGTACTTCAACTTTGCAAAACCAGCACTGGACAACAATCTGGTGTTACTGGAGATTTACGAGTAATATTTTACGTACAAACTTTTGGTATAAACTCTTGTATACAAACTACCGTATTTTTAGTATGATTAGATGACTTTAAATTAAAGATAAATAATATAAATTGAATATATTACATATCAAACATGGCAGAGCCACATTTAGGCCTATGGTGGCCATGGCCACCCCTCGCCCCAGAAAATTTTTAAGTTTCATATAAAATAATAAAATATCATCTTACTCCCTATAAATTTAGTTTTTCATTTTTGGCCACCCCAATTTTTTGATGTAATCTCTGTATGTTTAACTGCCTAATTTCTTTATGGCCGTGTCAATCATTAAATATTAATTCCAGGCCCCCAAGAAAAAACTTTATGGCTACACCCTTGCAAATATGCAGGATTGTCATATCAGTTTATAGGTTATAGTTTATATCAATAATTTGTATGTATAGCATTATTCTTAATTAATATATGATGGCCACCTAAAAAATACGGTAATTGAAGTATTTCATCCTACTTTGTAGGACATTGAAGTGAATCCGAAAGCAATTTATAGGAGATTGAATTCACTTATATTGCATTAATAATTTTAATAGGTAAGAAGAATTCGACGCATTTGGTGTAATATTATATGCTCAATCTCATTGCATCTAAATGAGCCATTAATTAATCACTTGAAATTAATGGTACCATACATAGACTTCCTCATGGATGGGTACCATTTTTCCAACTAAATTGAACCTCTCAACCATGTACAATCATGCAAGTGGACTGTATAATAAAGAAGGTTCACCTTCTTACATTAATTTCCAGAATTAATTAGCCACCTTTTTCCATTTTAGCTCTTAATGTAATCATAATGTCATTGTTTCAATACTCAATAGTCAATAGTATTTAATTGTCATTTGTTTCAATACGCTAGAACTTGTAATTGGAAACTCTATAATAGACTAATAGTCTTTCATTTTCCCAACAACCAAACTCATAAACTTCTCGTGCTTGGTTAATTGCAGTGATAAATTGATAATTCAGTGTGTGGCCATTAGCATCTCCACCAACATCTTTAATTTAATTTACTTGGAAAAATCATTCAAATGCATTTTCCTCATAGAAAATTAAACAACAATTATATCATTTAAAGTCATTGTTCCTCCAAAATCAACGTTTTATAGTTACTCCCTCTGTTTTTTTTTTTTTTTTAAATCGTTTTAAGGGTGTACACGACTTTTAATAAAAAAAAATTTTTCTCTCTACCACCTAACTTTTTCCTCTGATTTTGCAGGTGAGAAAAGATTTTGCAGGTGGGAAAAACTTTTTAGCTGCACACATTAAATTATTTAAATAATTTACATTTGTTTTATTCTGCTCGTCTTCGTCTCTTTCCTTTTACTCTGTTCCATTTCTTTTATTTTGTCGTCCCTCACTCATTTTCATTTCTTTTATTCTGTCGTCCCTCACTCATTTCCATTTCTTTTATTCTGTCGTCCCTCACTCATTTCCATTTCTGTTCCATTTCCATCTCTTTGATTCTGTTCGGTCAGTCATCATAGCCGAACAATGTAATAGTAGAGGTGTGCTGCCGAACAATGTAATAGTAGAGGTGTGCTTGGGGAAATTGATTTAAATATTCTTCCAACATTAGAAGCTACGAATGAAGTTAATGACATAACCGAGAAAGTTAATACACATGTGAGTCGAAAAAACCTTACAAATGAACAAAGGCAAGCAATTTTTGACGAAAAGTGGAGAAGGGAGACAGACAAGACAAGCAACGACATTTAATTTGAAAAAAAACTACACCCTTAAAACGACTTTAAGAAGAAAAAAAAAACAGAGGGAATAATATATATGTACTTCCTCCTATGTAAATAAAAAAATAAAAGAAAAAAGAAAAATCTACGAGTTAAGGACCACTCCAATGGGGTGGATTTCGTTTTGTCTAAGTTATTTATGCAAAATATAATCTAAATTATAAAAACAGTATAACATTAATTCGTAGACCGTTAATCGGCCTCAACAATTTGAATAATATCCTCTTACATTAGCCTATATATATGAAAGCAAGAAGCTGATCTTTTAATAAGCATCAAAATAACTTTACGGTGTCTCAAGTAATGGAATTCATCAAGGCTCTCTTCAGCACAGCACTGCATCATTTCATCCACAGAGACTTCCATGAGATCGTTGCCCGGATGACTCTCATTGATAAATTTCTCTTCCTGGTAAGGCGTTAGCTGTAACTCCAGTCTGATATTTCACATTAAACAAGCTTTAACTTTTTCTGTCAGTTTTCTTAACTGTTATTAAATTTTTGTTCAATATGCAGTTTGTACACTCCATTGATAAGTTGGGGATATGGCCGCATTTACCAGTGTTTTTAGGTCTATTTTATCTGGGAACACGGCGACATCTTCACCAGGAGTACAACTTATTTAATGTTGGTAGAACTCCGGTTGGCGTTCGGTTTAATCCTGCTGATTTTCCTTACAGAACTGCAGATGGAAAATATAATGATCCCTTCAATGAAGCTAGCGAAGCTACTTTTTTCGGCAGGAATATTCTCCCTGTTGATCAAGAAAACAAGATGGCAACAAAGTGATCTAAAAACTACTTGAACAAAAAATTATAAAATTAAAACCCATGGCAATTGCTAAAGATCGATGAAATTAGTTCCATTTTTAAAACTAATAATATTTAATCTCTATTAATAAATTTTAACTTCAGTTTTGTGATGATATTGTTTAGTTACTGAAACCAGATCCGATGGTGGTAGCTACAAAACTTTTAGTACGAAGAAGTTTTGTAGACACTGGAAAGCAATTTAACATGATAGCAGCCTCTTGGTTTCAGTTTATGATACATGACTGGGTTGACCACTTGGAGGCCACCAATCAGGTAAATAGTATTTAATTTCACGGTAATTTTAATTTTTAATTTTTGTAGCTTACATAAGAGACAGAAGGTAAATAGTACTTAATTTGCTAATTCATCATCAAATATCTTATGATTGAATGTTTGTTGCCTGAATAAATAAAACTGAGTTAATAAGAATTAGGTGGGAGGCGATGGCAAAGCCGCAGAGGCAGAGACAAAAGGTGGAGGCGACGTTTAGGGAATATGAAAAGTTGAAGTTAAGTTAGAATTCTTGAAAACACTGAATGGAATTGTTTAATTCTTTTTGACACATGTCTATTTATTATTAGTTTGTGGTACCAACTCACTGTTCTGAAAACCGGACCGGACCGACTAGTCCAACTAGTGACCGACGTCCTCTCCGGTCCAGTTTTACCCTGAAACTAGTAACAGCAATCAAACCGAATTGACTCATGGTTGAATGGTCGGAACAATGGTGAATTGCGGTCTAACCGCAAGTCAATCTAGGCTGATTTTGGCACCGTCTGACCTCCCTGACACCACAATAAGAGTCAACGACATCTCCACGACAAAACCCTGCCATTTTCAGTTACCGCCAACCTGCCATTCGCCGCTCGTCGTCCACCTCTTGTTCGTGAGACCTACGACCTGCCTCCTTGATTTCGACAAATTATGGCACCATTTGACCTCCCTAACACCACCATATGAGTCGTCAACATCCCTACATTAAAAGCCTCATCATCCCAAACTCCAGTTGGCCACCAATCATCGTCGCCATCACCAGTCTCTTCACTCGACTGCCTAGATCATATGGGTGCTTTTCTAGATTTCAAACTTGCAGGGATGCATGAAAATTTTGTAGGGACGTTTTTGCTGGATTTCAAACTTGTAGGGACTCATAGTAATTGTGTAGGAGTGTGTTTGCTGGATTTTAAATTTGTTGGAATTGCCTATGTCACCGGTCCGATTGAATCGGTCAACCTAAAAACCAGGCCCTTAACCGGGTTAAGGCCTAGTCCATTTACAGAACATCACTTGGTACCACTAGGATAGTGCAAATTTCCTCGTAGCATAAACTTTGCTTTGCATTAGTTAATGGTACATACGAGTATTCAATGCATATCTATTACACTAATTAATACAAAGTAAAGGGTGTAAGCTTACTTTTCATATTCTGTAATATTTTAATAAATGATTTAAGATTTAAAAAATAATAAAAGAATTTTATTCTTGTGAATTTTTTTCAATATTCTAAGTTTTTAATTAAATTTTAATTTCTTTTCAATATTTTTTCAGTAATGGATAGAAATTGAAGTTGAAGGCACTATTCTAATACTTGGCCCGGCCCGGCCGGTTTAACTAGGACCTGGGGCCTTCTCGGGGTTGGATTACTGCTTTCCACTGTTTCAAAATCCCTAACCTAACTACCAGCCACTTTTCGACGCAACCTACCCTCTCCCACTCACCCTCCACCCTCACTTGACCGCCACCCACCCCGTGGTGTCAATAACGGCCAGAATCTAGGTGGGAAACTCAACCTAATCGCGATGGTATACGCGAGTCACGGCCAACGAACGCAGGGCTACCAAGTGTTGGGATTAGAGAGGTTTTGTAGAATAGAGGCCGATGGTTCAAGTGGTGGTGTCGAATTGAATTTTGGATGCCAAAATTAGACGAAATTTGATTGGAAAAATCAACTCAATTTTGGCGGTATACGCGAGTCACAGCCAGAGAACAGAGGACTACCTAGTATCGGGATTAAAGGGGTTTTGTAGAGTGGAGGTCAGTGGTTTAGGTGGTGGTGTCGGATTGAATTTTGGCCGTCGGAATCAGTCGAAATTTGACCTAGAAAAGCGAAACCCTAACTGTGCGATTAGATCATAGGGGTGTGTTTACTGGATTTTAAACCTGTATGGACTAATGTTATTTGTCAGGGGTGTGTTTGCTAGATTTTAAACTTTCTAAATCACCAGTGAGACCGACAGTTTAACCAGTCAACACGGGACTCGACTCCTTGGCCGAGTGACATCCCAAAGTTGGGTTTCAGAATATCGGTTGAAGGTAAAAGGAGTGAGTTTTTAAATAAATCATTCAATTTAAAAAAAAAAAAATTGAGAGAAAAAAAAAAAGATATTAATCAATACAATACAATACAATACAATACAATACAATGATATCTTTTTATTAGAAAAAAGGGTAACACCAGGAATACTGGGAGGTGTTCAGCCTTAATTGCTGAAGCCTGGGCAATTTTGTAGGGGTTGGAATTAGCTTGGAAACTGGGCTTCAGAAGGATTGAGCTTGAATGTGACTCCTTAACTCTGGTTAATTCTTTCATTCCATGAATCGCAAGACCCGTTGGAGAATCAGGTTATAAAATGCATTGAAAGATGGTTGCATGAAGATTGGGAGATACACATCCATCATGTGTACCGCGAAGGCAATAGATGTGCTAATTTTTTAGCTAACCTCAGTTTCAGTTTTTATCCTAAACTTTAAGTCCTCAAGTATGCTACTTTTGGTATTGATAGACTCCTTAGGAATGATGCTTCAGGGATGTTTTCATCNACCCAGCATCAACATCCATGAAGGTATGGAAGTGCTTTATATGGAAGCACCGCCGAGATCTTGCAGAAAGTGAGGACATTTAAAGACGGGAAGCTTAAAATATCAAAAGATGGCCTGCTCCTTCATGACGAAAATGGAAATGCTTTGACAGGAGATGCTCGTAATTCTTGGGCAGGTGTCTCAACATTACAGGCCCTTTTCGTTCAAGAACACAATGCAGTTTGTGACGCCCTCAAGGTATTAAAATTTTTTAGATGACTTTAACTACTTTAATTAATTAAATAATATTTTTCATCCTTAATTTTTTATGCTTCAGAAAGAATATCAGGATTTGGGGGACGAAGAACTATATCGTCACGCAAGGCTAGTGACTTCAGCTGTGATTGCAAAGATTCATACCATTGATTGGACGGTCGAGCTCCTCAAAACTGCTACTCTACTTGCAGGGATGCGTGCCAACTGGTAAATTTTTTCAAACAAAAATTAACCTCTTAAAATTAATCATAAATATTAAATATATTTTTCTATGTATTTCAGGTATGGATTGTTAGGTAAGAAATTCAAGGACACATTTGGGCATGTTGGAGGAGGAGTCCTATTAAGTGGTTTGGTTGGTTTAAAGAAGCCAGAAAATCATGGCGTCCCATATTCTTTAACGGAGGAGTTCGTCGGCGTTTATCGGATGCACTCACTGATGCCCGATCACCTTCATCTCAGAGATATCACAGCTGCACCAGGACCCAACAAGTCTCCACCTTTGACCCAAAAGTATGGCCTTCCCCTCTTGTTTTTTTAGTCCTGAATTATTTTCTGCTAATTTATTCCATTGCTCGTTTGTCCAAAGGGTGCCAATGCAAAGTTTAATCGGGCACAACGGAGAAAATTCGTTGTCAGAAATTGGATTTGAAAGGCAAATGGTTTCAATGGGTCACCAAGCTTGCGGTGCCTTACAGCTTTGGAACTATCCTGTATGGATGAGGGACCTTGTAGCACAAAATGTGGATGGCACAGATAGGCCAAATCATGTGGACATGCCAGCTCTGGAAGGTATGTAACTTTATTAATTATCAGCTGATGATGATAGTTTTAATTTTGGTTGCATCTTATCATCAATATGGTTGATGATGCAGTTTATAGAGACAGGGAGAGAAAAATTGCACGTTATAATCAGTTCCGCAGGGCGCTACTTCTGATTCCTATATCTAAATGGGAAGATCTAACAGATGATAAAGAAGCGATTAAAGTGCTCAAAGAAGTTTATGGTGATGCTGTTGAACAGCTTGATCTTCTAGTCGGACTCATGGCAGAGAAAAAGATCAAGGGTTTCGCTATTAGTGAAACAGCTTTTATAATTTTCCTGGTGATGGCAACCAGGTAAAACCAAAGATAGATTCTATATTTGCATAATTGTTCTTATGAGAGATTATTTTAAAATGTCATGCATACAGGAGACTTGAAGCTGACAGGTTTTTTACAAGCAATTTCAATGAGGAGACATACACAAAGAAAGGATTCCACTGGGTGAATACTACAGAGAGCCTTAAAGATGTATTAGACCGCCATTACCCGAAAATGACAGAGAAATGGATGAACTCAACGAGTGCATTTTCTGTTTGGGACTCACCTCCAAATGCCCGTAACCCCATCCCTCTCTACCTTCGAGTTCCAATGTGAAACTCTAGCATCTCACGTGCGTAATACGTACTAAATAAATTTATTGGGCCAATGGGCCCAAGTGAACTTACGACATGACTCTTCCAATACTGAGTTATAATGCAGCAGTGGGCTCCGAGTCCGACCCAATAATGCCATATATAATATTTCAATTACGTAGTAATTAGTTAATATGTAATTTTAGTATATGAAATCAAAATAGTATTAAATTGTAACAAAAATATTGACTCATTAACTCTATTAAATTTACAGTACTACAATATGATCTTGCTAAAGTTGTGCACTAATGGGCAATGGCAATGTATTTCAGTGGGAACAAATTCAAGCCTATTGAGAACTGAAAATTTTAGTTTCTATTTTTTTTTTTAAATAACTTTTTATTGTTTATAATTCTATATTACTGGCATTTCTTTTTCCTTTTAAAAAAATATTAACCAGAAAAGTATTTGTTTTTCTAGTAAATTTAAAGTACCAATAGACTAAATAAGTTGAATCCTAATTCGCAACAAACAACTCTCAATAAATTTTCTAGAAGTAACTAAAGACTTAATTACTTAAAGAAACAATTTAGTAATTTCCAAAATTAGCTCTAACCAAAAATCATCTTATCTTAATTATCATAATATATGGATCGTTATGTGATTCAATTTATATAATAATAATAATAATAATAATAATATAGGCTTAACCTTACCAAAAATCCAACTAAAATATAGTTATTAAAAATAAAAAAATTAATAGCTGGCTCTCATCTCTCTCCCCACGGTAATTGCCGAACAAAAACTCTCCCCTTTGTGACCCCCTACTCAAAACCACTTTTGGATATTTTCCTCTTTATTCTCTCCGTCTCTTTGTTGATTACAACTATAAACCTCTCACCCTTTCACATGCTCTTCCTTCTTTTCCTCTAATCTTACCTCTCCTTGTCTCTTTCACTTCCACTTATTACATTTCTTCTTCTCCTCCTTTCTTTCTTTTTTTTTTTTCTTTAATTTTCTTTTTTGTACGCTCAGATCTCAATTTTAGCATCTGGGTTCTCTTCCTTGTCCCCAAATTCTTGTGGGTATCTTCAATTCATTTCAAGAGTTCTGGTTCTTTGCTAATCGGGTATTCCAGATCTTATCCCAATGTCACAAGGTTATGCGATTGAGCTTTATTTCGATCCCGCTTTGGAAAACCAAGTGTTGAAAGCATGGAACGTGTTGGCTCGCCGCCAAATCAGTACCCAACTCATTGAAATCGAGTCACGTCCGCATATAACTCTGTTTTCCAGCCCCGGTGTAGAGCCCACAAGACTTGAATCCATTATAAAGAGCTTTGCATCAAAGCAAGAACCTTTGCTTTTGTCTCTATCAACAATTGGGAGTTTTTGCAATGACAACAATGTCTTGTTTCTTGCACCAACGCCTTCAGTTTCGCTACTTCAGTTTCAGTCTCAGTTATGTGAAGCAATCAAGAAAGAAGGGATTGATTTAGGAGACGAGTATCGTGCTGAGAATTGGATTCCTTATTGTTCTGTTGCTCAAGAAGTTCCAAAGACGAGAATGGCGGAGGCCTTTTGTGTTTTGAGAGAGTTGAAGTTGCCTGTTTCTGGATATGCAATGGATATTGGGTTGGTGGAGTATTCCCCTGTTCGTGAATTGTTCTCTTTCGGACTTGGTAACACTGTAGAAGCATAACTTGTTCTTTTAATTGGGCTTATAGAATATGTTGAATTTGATGTTTCTAGTTTTATAAGTTGATGTACTTCATCTTTGGTTTTAGTTTATATGAATGATGGAAACTAGAGCCATAGTAGGAGAGTTTCATTTTATGTTTTCTAAAAGTGGTAGCAAATTGACTTTTTTATCTTTTGTTGTGTTTAAGATGTATTTTCTTATTTTGGTTATGTTGAGAATATGTTTAGAAATCATACCATGACGTTCTTATTTCATTCAATTTTTTGTGGGCTGGTTATTTTAATGTCACTCTGGGATGGACTTGTATGTTCAGTGAACAACGTATATGTTCTTATTTGGATGATGGGTTTTGTAGAGCATGATGCCAACTTTTCGATTACAATTAAATTTTCATTTGTTTATATAGAGTATGCATTTGCAATTAATTCATTTTCAATGGAAATAAAGGCTATGGGTTTGCTATGTGTATTAATCAATCATAGAAGTGTCTTAATCTACTTTGCATGAAATTCATGCTTGGTAATGCGAATCTAAATTCTTACAAAAATCTTAAATACGGCATCCTGCGAAAATGAGAATATGAGTCTTGTGTCATCCTGAGAGAAGGATAATTTGAGTCTTGTCTGACAATCATTAATGAAAAGAAGATATTATGTTCATTTGTTTTCTATATGTGTGAGTAAAGGTTTGTGTTTCTTGGTTTGTGAACATTTCATGTAAGAATTGCCAGAGGGTTCCTAATTGCATGTAAGAATTGCCAGAGGGTTCCTAATTGCCTTGACAACCTTTAATATGGCTTCATTAATGAATAAAAGTTGGGTTGAAATTGAAGTCTAGAATTGGTAGCCTTGCAGGGAACATATCTTTTATTGTTATCTTACTAGCGGATACTGTTCAAATCATTATTAAAATATTTAGGAGCGTTTCCTTCTATGCTCAGATCATTTAATTGCTCTTTGCACTGCTTACACATTTGTGCTGCTCTAGAATCATCAGTTTATACTTGTACTGTAGCTTGAGGGTTATCTGTACTCATCTTAAGTTTAGTCTAGTAACAGAATTTCAAATACGCTTCCCTTTGGAAATGAGAGCATAAAGCGGCAAGCTCAATTGATGATCTTCATTGCGTAGTCCTGTACATTGTTGGCATTGCTTGTCATTGTTTGTCTTGAGTATGTTATTTTTCTAATACAAACGATTTTGCCTGTTATAATGTTTATCCACAAGCCTTGATAACTTGTATTTTACCTAGCTGTTGCCTACATTGTTAATTTGCATCCAGGCATGGGCCTGGTATTGCGGCAATATTAGCTATTAGATTAGAGTTACATTCCTGTAGAGAAAAATTGTTGGCTTTATCCAGAGTGAAGGTCTTTATGCTGCTGCGCTTTGTTTTTTGGTTGTCTGTACTTTTGTTTGTTTCTCACGCAGCACATTGTCATCCCCATGAAGAAAAATTAGGAAACATTAACCAGAATGAACTTCTTCCAGCTGCTGCTTGTTCTTACTTTATCTTATTTTCTTTTTTATTATTAATTTTCTGCTGGGTAGTTGTTGCCAGTATGTTAAAAGATATAAATCATATCAATTATCATAACAAGGTGGATGACCCTTCATCTTAAGTTTGCTCAGACGATGTTATGAAGTTAAATTGCATTCATTTGTTGAAAATATATTGATGCTCCTTTTCTCTTTGCGATAGATTAATTAGATGATTGATCTCAAATTGAATATGCAAAAGAATCCTCATTTACTGATGTTCATAGATCTACTAGTTTTCTTCATCTTTCAGGTGGGCAATAAAAAATCTATTATCTACATGGAAAACTGACGGACACTGTATAAATATGTAGTATACAGTATTTTCTAGTTAGCTGGCTCCTTAAGAAGAAATTAACCCCGTTTCTTTTTCTAGAATTGCCATCAAAAATTCATTCCAGACTTCGATTGGACCTGGTAAGCACCAATGTACGCAGTCATTGTAACCCTTCATCCATTTATTTCCCCAGAATTCTTCTGGATGCCCATCAGGTCTCATCAGCGTTGCTTTAGTGACATCCATAATCACAAAGCTCTTCCCTTTCTTGTCTCCCTCCGTTCTTGCTCTTTCAGTTTCTTCTACCTGAATTTTTCTCAGTTCCCATCCTTCACCTCCCAAATCAATCTCTTTTTCACCTATGGGACTTGTCCTGTTGCAGCTTCCTCCAGTGTTCCAGCTTCCATTCTCAAAATGAGATGGTGAAAATGTCCTTACAACTGTCACTATGCCTCGACACCTGCTGCAGTCATTGACGTATTTAAATGCTGCTCGAAAGGTCATCTGGATCGCTCCGATGACGCCAACATTGGTTATACTTGAGTTATAGCAATATACACATCCTACTATGTTTGGTCCTTCATACAAGTAAATAGGCCTGAAGAACCAATGCTCAACTGCGATAATTGCATAGTCAATTGTAGGGAGGTTTGTTGTCCAACTTTCATCAATCTTGTCAAGATGCAAATTGTAATACTCACTTGAACCATTGATCACTTTACGGTCTCCAACAACTAGGAATCTAGACCAGAGGGTCATGAGAGTGAAGTCATGTCCACGAAAGTTCCATATCCGGAGCCTGTCTTCAGGATCCTTATAAATATCTTTCGGAACTTCCTCCTGCAAAAGTCATATTGTCAGAATCATAGGACTGTCCAAGACAAATGGTGCCTCAAACATTGTTGGCACTGACCTGAGCCAACAGACAGAGAAGTGATTCCAATTGGTTCCTGGCAACAGAGTCACCAATGAATGCCATTTTGTTTCCACGAACCATATCCAAGAAAACCTTGGCATCAAACCTTGGAAGATCACAATCGTCAGGTTTCCATCTCCATTTTAGAAAATCATCGTCCTTCCTCCCTTGCATGAAACAATTGTTCGATTCCGGAATTGTTAGACAGCTTGAATCTGTATAGCGTGACCCTTTATCGTCTGGTACCCAATGACCCTTAAACAAGTCACAATTCGCAATCCCATAATCTGAAAAACGAAAGCATTCATTACCATTGTCATTAAGTCTAATCTTAATCTTAAACAGGACAAAAGAAGAAATGGGCTATCTTGAAATACGAAACTTGGTGTCCTACAACGGGTGCATACATTTGCTGAAACCCACATCTGGTCAAAGGATTCAAGGGGTACGGGAAATAGAGGAAGAAGCTGAGAATGATGGTTGCAACTAGTGAACACAAGAACAAAGGAACCAGTTTCCCAATGCTGACACATCTCTCCTTTCTGGTATATTGACCATGTTTTTCTTGGAATAGAGAATAAAACTTCATTTTCCAAGCAAAAGTAGAAAATGGGAAATTGTTTCCTTTGAAAAGTAAAACAATAATGAGGTTTAATCTCTAGAGAATGTATAATTTCTTCCATTAGAAGATAGTCAGGCACATTATGCCGGTTGTTTTTTTATTATCTCAGAAGTAAAAAGGAAAAAAAAGGTCACTATCATTTGTGTGAGGCAATTAATGGCTACCGTGTGATTTGCATTCATGCAATTCAGAAAATGCACGAGATTCTGTGGAGGAATTTACTTACCCTGATTAATCGGCGGGATAGAATTTAAAAATTACAAAAACATCCTCTAAGTTTGTTAATTTATTAAACACCCCTGTCATAAAAAAAAATTAAAAATTATAAAAACACCCCCACTTACCCATTAAATACCGGCAGCTAGCCACCACCACCGGAGGGTGGTTGGAGTCGTTGTATTGGTGCACGACCTGCTGGATATGGCCGACAGTACGCCAAGATGGCCATTGACGGCCAGATCTGGTCGCGTTTGGTCGTCAACGACGACCATATCATGGTCGTCGTTGACGACTAGCTATGGCCAAAGATCTGGCTGTCAACGACCAGATCCTTGGTCGTAGATCTGACATTTTTCGACTAGATCCACGATAGATCTGGTCGAAAAAGGCTATATCGGTGTACTACCGGCCAGATCCAGTCGGTAGTGTTCCATTATATTAGATTCCAACAGTTTTCTGTCAGTGGTGGTCGGAATCTAGCAAATGTGGGCGGTGGAGGTGTTTTTGTTCATTTCTAAACTTTTTTTTAGAGGTATTTAATTAAATTAACAAACTTAGAGGATTTAAAAATAATTGAATAAAATATAATAGTATTTTTAAAATAGGAAACAAATGTGTATTTTGAAAATAACATAAATAGGATAGGGGAAAATATTGAAACAAACGACCCGACGTAGGGAAATATTCACTTTTTATATGGCTTGTAGATCTTCAACTTCAACTGTTACACAGACCAGGACAAACAAGTCTACGGCCATGGACTTTCAAAACAGTAAATAATGTAATGGAAGTTTTTACACTATATTTGGTCAATAAAAAAATCTAGCTTAATATAATCTCAACATTTTCACCATGGATTCATGGATAATAATTCTGCTATGCAAAAATAATTTATTATGAAGCGGTATATGTCCTATATAAGAATATTTTCTCTGGACAAAAGAATGGTATATGATATATATGCCTACAGAAAATTTGAGATATATTATATACTAGCTTGCCTCTAAGATAAAAAATTTAAGCCAACCTCCTTTGCAAGAATCGCCATTAAGAAATCACTCCATACATCAATTGGACCCGGCAAGCACCAATGAACACAGTCATTATAACCCTTCATCCATTTGTTTCCCCAGAATGCTCCAGGATGCCCATCAGGTCTCATAAGCATAGCCCTTGTCACATCCAAAATCTCAAACTTTTTGCCATGTTTTTTACCTTCTTTTCTAGCTCTTTCAATTTCTTCAACCTGAATGTTTCTTAATTTCCATTCATTAGCTTCGGATTCGATATCTCTTTCGTCATAGGGGCTTGTCCTGTTGCAGTTTCCTCCAGTGTTCCAAGTTCCATTCTCAAAATGGGAAGGCGAAAATGTCCTCAGCAATGTAACTAACTTCCTGCTGCATCTCTCGCAGTTGTTGATGTATTTGAATGTAGCTTTGAAGGCCATTCCGAGGGCGTCCACAACATCATATTTGGTTACATTTGGTTCGCTGCAATATACGCATCCGATTACATTGGCGGCTTCGTGCAAGTAAATTGGCCGAAAGAACCAGTGAGCTGTTGATATGATAGCGTAGTCTAAAATGGGGAGCTCTCTGGTCCATTTCTCTTCAACATTGTCAAGGTGCAAATCAAACACGCCGGAAGATGAGCCATTTACAATTCTCTCTTTGCCAACTACCAGAAATATTGACCACACCATTTTCAGAGTGAAGTCATGCTCAGGAAAATACCATATCCGATTCCTGTCTTCAGAATCTTTGTAAGCATCAATTGGAGTTTCCTCCTGCAATAGTTGTCAAGAAATTAAAACCAAGTTCATGTGCTTCTTTTGAAATTTTTTAACAATTTTTGACATTAGAAAAAACACTTAAGAATATTCTAACTTGGACCCAATTTAGTTTGACGACCTTATTTGTTCAAATATTTCGATCATTACTGCATTCATTCAAATATTCAATGGTTACAGCTAGCCAAAGGCCATTTTCTCGCTAGCTAGTGGATTATTGTCAACTTTGATCATGATACTCGGATTTTACATGAACATATAATTTTATTTAATGGATTTTCTGCTTAATTAGTCCAATCGAGTTGGGTAGGACACATTTGACTTTGGCTTTTGATTTTTGGTTGCTTTAATTGATCTAATTAGTATAATGATAATGTAGTTTCAAACGTTTATTTATTTTTCAAGTATTATTGTTGAATTATAATGGTGATGTGTAACCACACTTGCTTTTTTTTTTTTTTTAAAAATTTTGGTTTTGAGCTGACACTATGATTGCCACCACAGAGTTTAGAGAAAACAAGAGACTCGATTAAATCTAAAATATTTAGAATTTTGGACACAAATAAATCATCTAAACATTAACATAAAAGCTAAATTTGAAAAAGAAAAAATTGCTCTCATATACAATTACTGAGAGCTAATCTGTCACTAACTCGATCAATCCAAAGAAAATATAATCAAAATCTAATTGGGTAGTTGATTATGCACAATTACACGACAATTACGCTCAACTAATAAACAGAATATATCTATATTCCAAATTAAAAGAGATATTGAATTTATTACTATTCTAAAATAGGGAAATTCCCATAATATATCCCAACTATAATGCGTTTAGATCTTTCCCAATATTAGCTTGATTCTATTCACTGCACCATTAATTAATAATTTCCCATGAAAACAACTATATTCCCTATATTTCTCTTAAAAAAAAAAAAAAAAATACAATTCTCTAAAAGCTTATATATTCCGTATCGATCAAATCAATTTGTATGTATTAATTTACGTATTTTCATAAGTTTTGATATGAAATAATTAAACAAAAAAGAAAATGAAAGCTAAAGTTTTATGGACTGACCTGTGACAAGAGACAGAGAAGGGACTCCATATGGTTCCTGGCAACTGAGTCACCAATGAATGCAAGTTTTTTCCCTCGAAGAATTCCAAGAAATATCTTGGCATTAAACTTTGGAAGATCACACTTCTCAGGTTTCCATCTCCAATTCAGAAAATCTCTGTCTCTCCTTCCATGCCTGAAACAGTTCTTCGATATCGGAATCGTTGCACAGGTTGAATTTGTGTACTGTGGCCCTCCTTCAAGCTCCGGAACCCATCGGCCTTTGAACAAGTCACACTTGTCTTCCTCTACAAAACCAAACAAATAAAAGAAACAAAAACACATATGATGCCAGGCTTCATACACAACCAACCCCAGAAGGAAAAAGAAAAAGAGTTGAGTTTAAAGTAACCACTTTGTGATTTGATGAAGCGCAGGCTTTGATCAGGGTCTTGTTTGTGCAATATCTTTAAAGGGTTTGGAGAGTTGAGGAGGAAGAAGCTGAAAATGGTAGTTAAAGCGAGAGAAGAAAACAGGAAAGGAGCTAGTCTTCCTTTGCTGATGCATCGTTCGTTTTTGCTGTAGTGATGGAGTTTATCTTGTTGGTAAAGAGAAGAAGAAGACTTCATTTTTCATCAATTCACACAGAAAAAAATACAAAGACAAAAAAGGTTCATGAATCTTCAAAATTTAAATAACAATCAAGGATATGACTAGTTAAGCTAAATATAGCATAAAGGTTGAAAGGGAAAAAAAAAAAAAAAAATCTTCGGTTAAACTGTTATATCACGACAGTTACAAACTTACAAATTAATTTAATATAAGGTTTTTATCTCTCTTTTATTGCATAAAGTCATCAATATAGGAATAATTGAAAAAATCAGTTTTACCGAAATTTTAATTGGTTATATTATTTATGGTGCATATGTCTTGTGAAAGGACGGTGAAGAAAGGACAAAAAAGGTCTTGACCTTTTGTGAGGCAATGCTGGCCGTCTGATTTAGACACTTGGCAGATAGTGATACGGAGTAACACCATGTGATTGATGGTGGGACATAAGCATTTAAAACCTGATTTCACGGCGGAAATTTGTGAATGACTCAATGCATGGAAACACGCACTTTTGTAGTTGAGAATTCTACCTCTCACAATCTTCCATCTTTGAAGCCACCAACTATGGCACTATCTACAGTTGATTGGCAAGTCCAGAATGAGTTTTCGGTCAAATATTAATTCCCTCTTTCCTGTGTTAAATGCAAATAGAGATTGGCCCCTGGGGGTTAAGTCTGACCAATGACTTAAACACAGAGAGAGGAGTGGCGGATATCATAGTAGCAGTTAAAACAAAAGAGAAAATTTGAAAGTAGAATTTTGAGGATCGAGAAAGAAGAGTAGTACAAAAAAATAAACCACAACTGTCAAAATTTCAAATCATTGTGACGTTATTGCCGACATTCTTTCATTGTAGCAAAAGTCTGCCTCTGCCCTTTAAAAAAAAGATTTGAAGTATTACGTGTTAAGATTAGTACTTTACTTTTGTGGAAAAACGTGCGGGGATCATCACAACTTTCAATATTCTGATATCTTCGAATAGCTTCCTTCCTTCGTTGATGGACCTGGTTTTTAGGCAGCCAGCAATTTAAGTATATTCTTGAGTGTTATTGTGACATAACAAGTCGGGTGGAATGGTAAAGTCTTTTCTATATGAAAAGATGGCAATTAACTGTATTTCATTTATTGGTATTCTTGATAAGTGTTGTTAATCGGACGTGACAAGTGTCTGCATACTTCAAGAAGACTTTGATCTACTCTGTGTGTTTGGTTACAGAGAAAGTGGACACTTTAGTCAGATTGCGATAAGATTGGTTATAGTTATAGGAAGGATCTTGTCTTGTAGAATAATTTACAAAATAAATAATTTTCTAATTTAATATCAAATTTGGTGATTATGCTGAGTATTCTAAATTCACTCCTTTCTCCTTTGCCCCTTTTAAAGTTGGGAGTGTGACAATGACTTTCTATTTAAATCATGTGACGTTATTATTACTTTGTGTTAAAATAAAGTAGGTGTCAATTTAATGTTCATTTGTTTGAATCTTCCGAATCTTTAGGGAATAAATTATGGTTTTTAAAGTGGGTTTGGAATTGATGGGTCAGGATTTAGAGGATGTTATTTGCCCCCATTATTGACTTAGAGCATCCTTTTTTTAATGTTTATTTTTTAAAATATATTTATTCTTAACTAAGATCTAATTACAATTAATATGGTGTCTCTAAAACCTATATGTAAATCCTAGTTTGAGATCTTTTCTGAAAATGAAATGTTATATATTAGATATAAAAATTTAGAGTAAAAGACTTTTATCCACCCAAAAGATTTGAAAATACAATTTTACTATTCACAACAATTTTTCGTTAGTAAATTTAATTGTAAGGAGGGTAGGATAGTAAAAAGTTTGTTAAAAGGAAGGCTAGAATAATCGATTAATATTTTGCATTAAAAAAATCAAAATTTTTAAATTCAAGTATAAGTAATTGTAGGGTTGAATGGTTGCCACGTGTTTTTTTCTCTCATTCCCTTCTCTTTTTTTCCTTTTTTTTTTTCCTTTCATCCTCTTCCTTTTTTTCCTTAATTTTTTCTTTCTCCTCTCTTCACTACGCTTCCCACTACCTCCCCTTCGCTGCTCTGCCCAGCTCCAATTTCCTCGCTCCACTTCCCCACTACCTTCCCTCCCCGCATCCCCCGCATAGCAGCACCAACCCACCCACTTCACTTCTCACCGTCACAGCACACCCCTCACTTGCTCTTCAAAACCCACNCAAAAGTCTGCCTCTGCCCTTTAAAAAAAAGATTTGAAGTATTACGTGTTAAGATTAGTACTTTACTTTTGTGGAAAAACGTGCGGGGATCATCACAACTTTCAATATTCTGATATCTTCGAATAGCTTCCTTCCTTCGTTGATGGACCTGGTTTTTAGGCAGCCAGCAATTTAAGTATATTCTTGAGTGTTATTGTGACATAACAAGTCGGGTGGAATGGTAAAGTCTTTTCTATATGAAAAGATGGCAATTAACTGCATTTCATTTATTGGTATTCTTGATAAGTGTTGTTAATCGGACGTGACAAGTGTCTGGATACTTCAAGAAGACTTTGATCTACTCTGTGTGTTTGGTTACAGAGAAAGTGGACACTTTAGTCAGATTGCGATAAGATTGGTTATAGTTATAGGAAGGATCTTGTCTTGTAGAATAATTTACAAAATAAATAATTTTCTAATTTAATATCAAATTTGGTGATTATGCTTAGTATTCTAAATTCACTCCTTTCTCCTTTGCCCCTTTTAAAGTTGGGAGTGTGACAATGACTTTCTATTTAAATCATGTGACGTTATTATTACTTTGTGTTAAAATAAAGTAGGTGTCAATTTAATGTTCATTTGTTTGAATCTTCCGAATCTTTAGGGAATAAATTATGGTTTTTAAAGTGGGTTTGGAATTGATGGGTCAGGATTTAGAGGATGTTATTTGCCCCCATTATTGACTTAGAGCATCCTTTTTTTAATGTTTATTTTTTAAAATATATTTATTCTTAACTAAGATCTAATTACAATTAATATGGTGTCTCTAAAACCTATATGTAAATCCTAGTTTGAGATCTTTTCTGAAAATGAAATGTTATATATTAGATATAAAAATTTAGAGTAAAAGACTTTTATCCACCCAAAAGATTTGAAAATACAATTTTACTATTCACAACAATTTTTCGTTAGTAAATTTAATTGTAAGGAGGGTAGGATAGTAAAAAGTTTGTTAAAAGGAAGGCTAGAATAATCGATTAATATTTTGCATTAAAAAAATCAAAATTTTTAAATTCAAGTATAAGTAATTGTAGGGTTGAATGGTTGCCACGTGTTTTTTTCTCTCATTCCCTTCTCTTTTTTTCCTTTTTTTTTTTCCTTTCATCCTCTTCCTTTTTTTCCTTAATTTTTTCTTTCTCCTCTCTTCACTACGCTTCCCACTACCTCCCCTTCGCTGCTCTGCCCAGCTCCAATTTCCTCGCTCCACTTCCCCACTACCTTCCCTCCCCGCATCCCCCGCATAGCAGCACCAACCCACCCACTTCACTTCTCACCGTCACAGCACACCCCTCACTTGCTCTTCAAAACCCACCCACACACTGTCCACCCCTGCTCGCCGATTACCACCTGCAGCGTTGTGATTGTTGTTCTGTATTTTTGGGTGATTGTTCTGTATTTTCGGATTTTCTTGTTGTGGCTTGTTTTTTGATGTTGATTGAGTAGTCTGGAGTTTGTATTGAAGTTTGGGTGTTGTTTGGTTGTTTATTTGGAGTGTTCTTCTGTTTGTTCTGGTCGGATTAACCCTACCAGTCACCGTCGTTCACTCTCCAACGCGACCTGCACAGCACCTATTCGTTAAAAATCCCCACCCAGCTAACTTTCCCCTGCCGATTTAGTTGGATGGTGAGAAAATTGAAGACTTTTGTTTTAGAAGGGAATTTTGATGAGAAATTTTTTAGGGAGGCTTTCTTTGGTGACAAAAAAAATGTTACTAGAAATGTTATTCTTGACTAAATAAACTGAGAAGAAAATGATTAATAAAATTAAAAAAAAAAAAAAAATGAGAAGAACTGATATAAGAAAAAGTGAAGAAAATGTAAATGAAAGGAGAAGAAAGTAAGAAGAAAGAGAAGAGGAGAGGAGAAGAGAAGAGATGGAAGAAAACGAAAAAGAAAAACTAAGGGTTTTTTTTTTTTAACAAAAGAAGGGTAGAATGAATTGGTAATTTATATTATATGAGGTTGCATTAGTAATTTTTTATTTAAAGAGTGGGTATATTAATAATTGAAAATGACTTAATAAAATGAAAAAATTTAAATTAAATAATAAAAGGTATTTTTGTCTTCATAATAAATTTATTGTAGTTTATTGAATATAAGTATTGTATTTTAAATTATTTTAAGTATTATTAGACCATTTTGGGTGGAAAAAAAATCGTTTACTCTTAAAAAAAAAAAAAAAAAAATTAAGGATAACTAAAGATGGGGTTTTTCCAAAGATCGGCAATTTCAAGGTAGACTGAATGCCAGGCCCAAATATTGGGCATAAANTTGGATGGTGAGAAAATTGAAGACTTTTGTTTTAGAAGGGAATTTTGATGAGAACTTTTTTAGGGAGGCTTTTTTGGTGACAAAAAAAAAATGTTACTAGAAATGTTATTCTTGACTAAATAAACTGAGAAGAAAATGATTAGTAAAATTTAAAAAAAAAAAAAAATGAGAAGAATTGATATAAGAAAAAGTGAAGAAAATGTAAATGAAAGGAGAAGAAAGTAAGAAGAAAGAGGAGGTGAAGAGATGGAAGAAAACGAAAAAGAAAAAATAAGGGTTTTTTTTTAAACAAAAGAAAGGTAGAATAAATTGGTAATTTATATTATATGAGGTTACATTAGTAATTTTATATTTAAAGAGTGGGTATATTAATAATTGAAAATGACTTAATAAAATGAAAAAATTTAAATTAGATAATAAAAGGTATTTTTGTCTTCATAATAAATTCATTGTAGTTTATTGAATATAACTATTGTATTTTAAAATATTTTAAGTATTATTAGACCATTTTGGGTGGAAAAAAATCGTTTAC